GAACGAAATCTGATTATGTATTTTGGGTCTAAAAGGTAGCCAACTCCACCAAATATTAAATATGTACCCAACTCAATTTATGTTTAATCAACCAATTACTCCATGGGATAACTGGGATCTATCAGTTGATTTTGTAAATGCGCCCAAGAAAGATAGTGTGCACTCTACATTATTAAAACAGTTAACACTGAAAAGCATCACTGAGAGTACTCAGAGTATGGGTAACGATGTGTATCAGTGCTATACCGACGGCTCTGTAGAAGGTGGACGATGTACCGGGTGTGCATGTAATATATTTGAACAATCTTCTTTCGTACATACAGCAATAAATAAAGCAATAAAGCGCGTCAATGACCGGGCAAGTACAACTCAAACCGAACTTGCAGGCATATACCTTGCCACTGAGTTTTTAAAAGACAAAGGTAGTGGACTTATATACTGTGAGTCGCAGAGTGCACTCCTGGCATTAAACGCACATAGTAGTGACACCCAGAAAATAGTCAGTGATATTCGAATGAATGTTTTAGCTGCTAAAGAAAACAAATTTTAAATTAAATTCCTATGGATATCATCACATATTGGCATCTCAAGGCATGACACTGTTGATATGCTTGCTAAGACAGCCTGTAGAAAACCAGTGTTAGAAATTGATATGGGTGTTTCATTAGCAGTGACAAAGAGAATACTTAAACAAATATCTAATGAAGATCTCACCGACCTAACAAATTCACAAAGACCTGAAAGTTGTAGCATTAAATATTATGATAGATATCGTGAGGAGACATTCACATATGGGACTAAGAGAACAAGAACCCGGCAATGTGATATTATAGTGGCCAGAATACGCCTGGGATATAGACGTATCTGGCAGCTTTCTCAAAACCCAAATGTCCAGTACACAATGTGTCAACTTTGTGAAAGAGAAAACATGCACTCTCTTGAACATTATATTGTAGAATGTCCCATATTGACTGACTTTCGCCCTCCTGGGCTAAGGTATGCTGAACTGTGTAATTACTATATGAGTACTGGAACACTTGGTGGTATATTGGACTTGTACCCAAGATTGACCATGTAATGTATCAATTATACAATGTATGTATGTGATGTAACTATATAACTTGAACTTGTAAAAGCACATTAAATACCTTCAGTGATTAAGTGCTTAATTGCACACTAGTTTCTCTATCAATTATCTCACCCTGTCAGAGTAAAAGAGACAAATGTATGTGAATGCATGTGTGTGTATATATGCATGTATATATGTATATGAACGTATATGTGTGTGTGTATGTATATGTATGTTAATAAAGTATATATGGAAGCTGATCAGAATTACATTTCACCTTTGTAAATGCACATTAATGACACTATGTAAAAGACACATTGAACACTTTATGTAGGGCATACGTAAATCTGTGTATCTATGTATCAGGGGATGCTTGTCAGTGATACAGGTCTATAGTTAAGTGCCTCCTCCCTATCACTTTTCTTGAAAATCGGTAAAACATATGCCCTCTTCCAGCATCTGGGCAATTCTCCCGACATACGTGACTCATTAAAGATCCTTGCCAGACGCTCGCTGAGGGCTTGCGCTGCCTCTTTTAGTATCCACGGTGATACTTTGTCTGGTCCAACTGCTTTAGTTGCATCCAGGGTTGTCAACTGTTTCATTACCTCCTCTGTTGTCACCTCTATATCTGTTAGTCTTTCATCTAGGGTAATCTCTTCTAACAATGGGAGCTGCTCAGGCTCGGTTGTGAACACTCCGTGGAAACTGACATTCAATTTCTCGCAGATTTCCTTGTCATTTTCTGTATATGCACGTGTGTGTGTGTGTGTGTGTGTGTGTGTGTGTGTGTGTGTGTGTGTGTGTGTGTGTGTGTGTGTGTGTGTGTGTGTGTGTGTGTGTGTGTACTCACCTATTTGTACTCACCTATTTGTGTCTGCAGGATCGAGCATTGACTCTTGGATCCCGCCTTTCGAGCCATCGGTTGTTTACAGTAATGACTCCGGTTCTATTTCCCTATCATATCTAGTTTTAAAATTATGAATAGAGTGTGCTTGGAGCCGGTCGGCCGAGCGGACAGCACGCTGGACTTGTGATCCTGTGATCCTGGGTTCGATCCCAGGCGCCGGCGAGAAACAATGGGCAGAGTTTCTTTCACCCTATGCCCCTGTTACCTAGCAGTAAAATAGGTACCTGGGTGTTAGTCAGCTGTCACGGGCGGCTTCCTGGGGGTGGAGGCCTGGTCGAGGACCGGGCAGCGGGGACACTAAAAAAAAAAAGCCTGGAAATCATCTCAAGATAACCTCAAGATAACCACAACCGGCTCCTTTTCCACCACTCTTACACTAAAAGAAAACTTCCTAACATCTCTGTGACTCATCTGAGTTTCCAGCTTCTACCCATGTGGAAGTAAGTGTGTGTATTCACCTAGTTGTATTCACCTAATTGTGTTTGCGGGGGTTGAGCTTTGCTCTTTCGGCCCGCCTCTCAACTGTCAATCAACTGTTTACTAACTACTTTTTTTTTCCACACCACACACACACACATACACCCGAAAACAGCCCGTGACAACTGACTAACTCCCAGGTACCTATTTACTGCTAGGTAACAGGGGCATTCAGGGTGAAACAAACTTTGCCCATTTGTTTCTGCCTCGTGCGGGAATCGAACCCACGCCACAGAATTACGAATCCTGCGCGCAATCCACCAGGCTACGAGGCCCCTGTGTGTGTGTGTGTGTGTGTGTGTGTGTGTGTACTCACCTAGTTGTGCTTGCAGGGGTTAAGTTTCAGCTCTTTCGTCCCGCCTCTCAACTGTCAATCAACAGGTGTACAGGTTCCTGAGCCTACTGGGCTTGATCATATCTACACTTGAAACTGTGTATGGAGTCAGCCTCCACCACATCACTTCCTAATGCATTCCATTTATTAATTACTCTGACACTGAAAAAAAAGATATTTCTAATGTCTTTATGGATGAATGTGTGTGTGTGTACTTACCTAATTTTGCTTGCAGGGGTTGAGCTCTGTCACTTTGGTCCCGCCTCTCAACTGTGTGTGGATGTGTGAGTGTGCGTGAACGTGTGTGAAAGTATTGTGTATTCACAGATGTCTAACTCCCAGGTACCTATTTACTGCTAGGTATAAGGGGCACTAGGGTGAAAGAAACTCTGCCCATTTGTGTCTGCCGGCGCCGGGAATCGAACCCGTGCCACAGGATTACGAGTCCCGCGCTCTGTCTACTCAGCTACCTGACCAGGTAGCGTGTGTGTGTGTACTCACCTAGTTGTGCTTGCGGGGGTTGAGCTTTAGCTCTTTGTTCCCGCCTCTCAACCGTCAATCAACAGGTGTACAGGTTCCTGAGCCAATTGGGCTCGATCATATCTACACTTGAAACTGTGTATAGAGTCAGCCTCCATCACATCACTTCCCAGTGCATTCCATTTACTAACCACTCTGACACTGAAAAAGTTCTTTCTAATGTCTCTGTGGCTCATTTGGGTACTCAGCTTCCACCTGTGTCCCCTTGTTCGCGTCCCGCCAGTGTTGAATAGTTTATCTTTGTTTACCTCGATTCCTCTGAGGATTTTGTAGGTTGTGATCATGTCCCCGCTTACTCTTTTGTCTTCCAGTGTCGTAAGATGCATTTCCCGCATCCTTTCCTCATAACTCATGTCTCTCAGTTCTGGGACTAGTCTAGTAGCATGCTTTTGAACTTTTTCCAGCTTCGTCTTGTGCTTGACAAGGTACGGGCTCCATGCTGGGGCCGCATACTCCAGGATTGGTCTTACATTTGTGGTGTACAAGATTCTGAATGATTCCTTACACTGGTTCCTGAACTCTGTTCTGATGTTAGCCAGCTTCGCATATGCCGCAGACGTTATTCTCTTTATGAGGGCTTCAGGAGACAGGTTTGGTGTGATATCAACTCCTAGATCTTTCTCTATGTCTGTTTCATTAAGTACTTCATCTCCTATTCTGTATCCTGTGTCCCCTAGTGCGTGTGCCCCTTGTGTTAAATAGACTGTCTTTATCTACCCTATCAATTACCTTGAGAATCTTGAATGTGGTGATCATGTCCCCCCTAACTCTTCTGTCTTCCAGCGAAGTGAGGTTTAAATCCCGTAGTCTCTCCTTGTAGCTCATACCTCTCAGCTCGGGTACTAGTCTGGTGGCAAACCTTTGAACCTTTTCAAGTTTGGTGTTATCCTTGACTAGATATGCACTCCATGCTGGGGCTGCATACTCCAGGATTGGCCTAACATATGTGGTATACAAAGTTCTGAATGATTCTTTACACAAGTTTCTGAATGCCGTTCTTATGTTGGCCAGCCTGGCATATGCCGCTGATGTTATCCTCTTGATATGGGCTGCAGGAGAGAGGTCTGGCGTGATATCAACCCCCAAGTCTTTTTCTTTCTCTGACTCTTGAAGTATTTCATCTCCCAGATGGTACCTTGTATCTGGCCTACTGCTCCCTGCACCTATCTTCATTACATTACATTTGCTTGGGTTAAACTCTAACAACCATTTGTTTGACCATTCCTTCAGCTTGTCTAGGTCTTCTTGAAGCCTCAAGCAGTCCTCCTTTGTCTTAATCCTTCTCATAATTTTGGCATCGTCCGCAAACATTGAGAGAAATGAATCTATACCCTCCGGGAGATCATTTACGTATCAGAAACAAGATAGGACCGAGTACAGAGCCCTGTGGGACTCCACTGGTGACTTTACGCCAATCTGAGGTCTCACCCCTCACCGTAACTCTCTACTTCCTATTGCTCAGGTACTCCCAGCTACACCTGAGCACCTTCCCAGCTACACCTGTACCAGGATGTGTGTGTGTGTGTGTGGGTGTGTGTGTGTGTGTGTGTGTGTGTGTGTGTGTGTGTGTGTGTGTGTGTTTGTGTGTGTACACTACAGGTAACCAGTAAGGGTAGAGTTGCCCTGTCTTACAAATCATTTTCTAAATGTGTGTGTGTTGTCACCTTCAGGTGTGGTGTACCGGGCGTGGAGCACAGACGAGGACCTGGGGCTCACCTGCCCGCTGGGGCCAGGTGACTCTGCCCGCTGCCCCTGCGCCTCCGTCACCTACCAGCTGTTCGCACCTCCTGGTGACCATCACTTCCTGCTGGACCCCGTCTCTGGTATCCTCACCAGGAACACCAACACCTCCCTTCATCCTGGTACTACTTACACCTACAAGCTGATGGTACAAGGTGAGTTATGGCATAGTTAGTTAGGCGTTACCACCTTCAAGGTAGGACTGTTGTCGGAGGAAAATGACCTTACGTCATGCCAGTACTGAAGGAAGGCGATCATATATGTGCAACGAACTGTCGTCTGGAAAAACACCTAATATATTATCAGGAAAAGTGATGTCAAGTCTCAAGAACTTGATAACGAAAAACCAGCATAACGGCTAATGAAAAATATCCGGTTTAACGAATCTTTTAGGACCATTTAATTACGTTCAAAACTGGAAATCTGAACTGCTCAAATCTGTAACATTCTCAGATATCTTGAACATCATTGGCATAATGCCACATTAAAAATGGCTAAGCTCAAGACGCTCAATAATGGGAACAGATTACATAACCTGGATTAAAGACTGGCTCACAGAGAGGACACAGCGAATTGTGAGACCGGAAGAGCACAGCGAGCTCACTAATTCACACTCAGCTCACTCATGACTTTCATTAACTATGTATGCTAAAGTTACTTATCCCTGGCCATCTTGGCTACTTGTTTTATATATTGACTAAAATATACGTCTAATAAAAAGAAAATTCGAATCATTATTGTAGGAACTGAAAAGGAAGTTAATCTATAAAAATGACACCATTATCAAGTATGTTTGTGCAGTACTAGATAACAGCCCACATAAGATGAGAGATGAGGACGCGTGGTATACCGGCCCTGCCCAGGTGATAAGCCACAGCAGACCCTTTGCTCGAATCGGTAGGTATATCAACACCGTTTTAAAGAAGTGTGACTATTGTAAACATGTTAACAATAATTGAAGTATTCAAAATACCTTAGTAATATTCTTAAACAAAATATTTATTTACAGTATAATACAGTGTCAGGTCACTGGAATAATTTCTTGAGAGCATTTGAAGTGCAATCAAGTCAGCTGCTGAGACTGGATAATTATAGACTCAATGTACAAGACATTCAGAGAAATAACATTATATTCTATATCGATCACTGAAGAAGAAGAATAAAGACCAGGAACTGTCTATCTTATGTGTTTAAGATTGACTAATTTACTCACCTCAGGTCATGCCTTTCAGTCTAATAATCTACCCACATCAGGAGCAGCCTATATCACTCATAATCTACCCACATCAGGAGCAGCCTATATCACTCATAATCTACCCACATCAGGAGCAGCCTATATCACTCATAATCTACCCACATCAGGAGCAGCCTATATCACTCATAATCTACCCACATCAGGAGCAGCCTATATCACTCATAATCTACCCATATCAGGAGCAGCCTATATCACTCATAATCTACCCACATCAGGAGCAGCCTATATCACTCATAATCTACCCACATCAGGAGCAGCCTATATCACTCATAATCTACCCACATCAGGAGCAGCCTATATCACTCATAATCTACCCACATCAGGAGCAGCCTATATCACTCATAATCTACCCACATCAGGAGCAGCCTATATAACTCATAATCTACCCACATCAGGAGCAGCCTATATCACTCATAATCTACCCACATCAGGAGCAGCCTATATCACTCATAATCTACCCACATCAGGAGCAGCCTATATCACTTATAATCTACCCACATCAGGAGCAGCCTATATCACTCATAATCTACCCACATCAGGAGCAGCCTATATCACTCATAATCTATCCACATCAGGAGCAGCCTATATCACTCATAATCTACCCACATCAGGAGCAGCCTATATCACTCATAATCTACCCACATCAGGAGCAGCCTATATCACTCATAATCTACCCACATCAGGAACAGCCTATATCACTCATAATCTACCCACATCAGGAGCAGCCTATATCACTCATAATCTACCCACATCAGGAGCAGCCTATATCACTCATAATCTACCCACATCAGGAGCAGCCTATATCACTCATAATCTACCCACATCAGGAGCAGCCTATATCACTTATAATCTACCCACATCAGGAGCAGCCTATATCACTCATAATCTACCCACATCAGGAGCAGCCTATATCACTCATAATCTACCCACATCAGGAGCAGCCTATATCACTCATAATCTACCCACATCAGGAGCAGCCTATATCACTCATAATCTACCCACATCAGGAGCAGCCTATATCACTCATAATCTATCCACATCAGGAGCAGCCTATATCACTCATAATCTACCCACATCAGGAGCAGCCTATATCACTCATAATCTACCCACATCAGGAGCAGCCTATATCACTCATAATCTACCCACATCAGGAGGAGGAGGAGGAGGAGCCTAAATCTCTCATAATCTACCCACTTTCCTTCCCCTTGCTTACCCTCCCTTCCTTACCCTACCCATACCCTCCCTCACTTTAACTTCCGCCTTACTCCCCCCCCTTATCATCCCTCCCTCTCTTACGTTCCCCTTACCCTCCCTCTCTTATCCTCTTCCTTACCCTCCCTCCCTTACCTTCTCCATTACCCTTTCCTTCACCAGTACCCTTTCCTTCCCCTATGCCCTCCCTCTCAAGCAAGGTTCAAGTTAGGCAAGTTCACGGCCTGGTTCCAGGCCAGGTTCCAGGTCAGGTTCCAGCCCAGGTTCCAGCTCAGGTTCCAGGCCAGGTTCCAGGTCAGGTTCCAGCCCAGGTTCCAGCCCAGGTTCCAGGCCAGGTTCCAGCCCAGGTTCCAGGCCAGGTTCCAGCCCAGGTTCCAGGCCAGGTTCCAGCCCAGGTTCCAGGCCAGGTTCCAGGCCAGGTTCCAGGCCAGGTTTCAGCCCAGGTTCCAGGCCAGGTTCCAGGCCAGGTTCCAGGCCAGGTTCCAGCCCAGGTTCCAGCCCAGGTTCCAGGCCAGGTTCCAGCCCAGGTTCCAGGCCAGGTTCCAGCCCAGGTTCCAGTATCTAGCTCAAGCAGTCGTATTTTGAAGCAGCAATTGGTGTAAGTTTCCGGTGCGTGCCCCAACGAGCCGCACGACACCGCCAGTCAACAATCCTCGCCAACGTCAGCCGTCATTTGACAAAACTGAGATCCTCATAAACATTGTATTTGGCGGTGGTCGGGGGGCAGGGACGCTTGTAAATGAGCGCCTGTAATCAACAGGCTCTGTCTAGGGCTCAATATCGCCCCTTCCCCTCGCCATCTCCAGCAGCGGCCCCTCCCCCCCCCCCCACACACGTAAACAAACCCCTTCCCCCTTCATCGGCGTCATCAACACCTGACCAATAGCAGCAATAAAAAGGAAAGTGATGAAGGAAAAACCCGCAAAGGAAGTGTTCATTCCTCGTGTGATGGGTGAGAGTGATGGTGGACAGTGATGGTGTTGGTGGTGTGAGGGGTGAGAGTGATGGTGGTGGTGGTGTGAGGGGTGACAGTGATGGTGGTGGTGGTGTGAGGGGTGACAGTGATGGTGTTGGGGTACGGTGATGGTGTTGCTGATGGTGATGGTGGTGCTACGGTGATGGTGATGGTACGGTGATGGTGTGAGGTGATGGTGTTGCTACTGTGATGGTGTTGGTGTGAGTGATGGTGTGCTACAGTGATGGTGTTGGTACGGTGATGGTGTTGCTACGGTGATGGTGTTGCTACTGTGATGGTGTTGCTACGGTGATGGTGTTGCTACGGTGATGGTGTTGCTACGGTGATGGTGTTGTGACGGTGATGGTGTTGCTGGTGGTGGTGTGTGTGTTGCTACGGTGATGGTGGTGCTACGGTGATGGTGTTGCTACAGTGATGGTGTTGCTACGGTGATGGTGTTGCTACAGTGATGGTGTTGCTACGGTGTGGTGTTGCTACGGGTGTGTGCTACGGTGATGGTGTTGTGATGGTGTTGTGATGGTGTTGCTACGGTGATGGTGTTGCTACGGTGATGGTGTTGCTACGGTGATGGTGTTGCTACGGTGATGGTGTTGCTACGGTGATGGTGTTGCTACGGTGATGGTGTTGCTACGGTGATGGTGTTGCTACGGTGATGGTGTTGCTACGGTGATGGTGTTGCTACGGTGATGGTGTTGCTACGGTGATGGTGGTGCTACGGTGATGGTGTTGCTACGGTGATGGTGTTGCTACTGTGATGGTGTTGCTACGGTGATGGTGTTGCTACAGTGATGGTGTTGCTACAGTGATGGTGTTGCTACGGTGATGGTGTGCTACAGTGATGGTGTTGCTACGGTGATGGTGTGGTGATGGTGTTGCTACGGTGATGGTGTTGCTACGGTGATGGTGTGAGGTGGGTGTTGCTACGGTGATGGTGTTGCTACGGTGATGGTGTTGACTGTGATGGTGTTGCTACGGTGATGGTGTTGCTACTGTGATGGTGGTGCTGCTGTTGCTACTGTGATGGTGTTGCTACGGTGATGGTGTTGCTACAGTGATGGTGTTGCTACGGTGATGGTGTTGCTACAGTGATGGTGTTGCTACGGTGTTGGTGTTGCTACAGTGATGGTGTTGCTACGGTGATGGTGTTGCTACGGTGATGGTGTTGCTACGGTGATGGTGTGGATGGTGTGACGGTGATGGTGATGGTACGGTGATGGTGTTGCTACGGTGATGGTGTTGCTACGGTGATGGTGTTGCTACGGTGATGGTGTTGCTACGGTGATGGTGTTGCTACGGTGATGGTGTTGCTACGGTGATGGTGTTGCTACGGTGATGGTGTTGCTACGGTGATGGTGTTGCTACGGTGATGGTGTTGCTACGGTGATGGTGTTGCTACGGTGATGGTGTTGCTACGGTGATGGTGTTGCTACGGTGATGGTGTTGCTACGGTGATGGTGTTGACGGTGATGGTGTTGCTGGTGTGAGGGGTGACTACTGTGATGGTGTTGCTACGGTGATGGTGTTGCTACGGTGATGGTGTTGCTACGGTGATGGTGTTGCTACGGTGATGGTGTTGCTACGGTGATGGTGTTGCTACGGTGATGGTGTTGCTACGGTGATGGTGTTGCTACGGTGATGGTGATGGTGTTGCTACGGTGATGGTGTGCTACGGTGGTGGTGTTGCTACGGTGATGGTGTTGCTACGGTGATGGTGTGATGGTGTACGGTGATGGTGTTGCTACGGTGATGGTGTTGCTACGGTGATGGTGTTGCTACGGTGATGGTGTTGCTACGGTGGTGGTGATGGTGTTGCTACGGTGATGGTGTTGCTACGGTGATGGTGTTGCTACGGTGATGGTGTTGCTACGGTGATGGTGTTGCTACGGTGATGGTGTTGCTACGGTGATGGTGTTGCTACGTGATGGTGTTGCTACGGTGATGGTGTTGCTACGGTGATGGTGTTGCTACGGTGATGGTGTTGCTACGTGATGGTGTTGCTACGGTGATGGTGTTGCTATGGTGTTGCTACGGTGATGGTGTTGCTACGGTGATGGTGTTGCTACGGTGATGGTGTTGCTACGGTGATGGTGTTGCTACGGTGATGGTGTTGCTACAGTGATGGTGTTGCTACGGTGATGGTGTTGCTACGTGTGTTGCTGGTGATGGTGTTGCTACGGTGATGGTGTTGCTACGGTGATGGTGTTGCTACGGTGATGGTGTTGCTACGGTGATGGTGTTGCTACGGTGGTGGTGTTGCTACGGTGATGGTGTTGCTACGGTGATGGTGTTGCTACGGTGATGGTGTTGCTACGGTGATGGTGTTGCTACGGTGATGGTGTTGCTACGGTGATGGTGTTGCTACGGTGATGGTGTTGCTACGGTGATGGTGTTGCTACGGTGATGGTGTTGCTACGGTGATGGTGTTGCTGGTACGGTGATGGTGTTGCTACGGTGATGGTGTTGCTACGGTGATGGTGTTGCTACGGTGATGGTGTTGCTACGGTGATGGTGTTGCTACGGTGATGGTGTTGCTACGGTGATGGATGGTGTTGGTGATGGTGTTGCTACGGTGATGGTGTTGCTACGGTGATGGTGTTGCTACGGTGATGGTGTTGCTACGGTGATGGTGTTGCTACGGTGATGGTGTTGCTACGGTGATGGTGTTGCTACGGTGATGGTGTTGCTACGGTGATGGTGTTGCTACGGTGATGGTGTTGCTACGGTGATGGTGTTGCTACGGTGATGGTGTTGCTACGGTGATGGTGTTGCTACGGTGATGGTGTTGCTACGGTGATGGTGTTGCTACGTGATGGTGTTGCTACGGTGATGGTGTTGCTACGGTGATGGTGTTGCTACAGTGATGGTGTTGCTACGGTGATGGTGTTGCTACGGTGATGGTGTTGCTACGGTGATGGTGTTGCTACGGTGATGGTGTTGCTACGGTGATGGTGTTGCTACGGTGATGGTGTTGCTACGGTGATGGTGTTGCTACGGTGGTGTTGCTACAGTGATGGTGTTGCTACGGTGATGGTGTTGCTACGGTGATGGTGTTGCTACAGTGATGGTGTTGCTACGGTGATGGTGTGCTACGGTGATGGTGTTGCTACGGTGATGGTGTTGCTACAGTGATGGTGTTGCTACTGTGGTGGTGTTGCTACGGTGATGGTGTTGCTACGGTGATGGTGTTGCTACGGTGATGGTGTTGCTACGGTGATGGTGTTGCTACGGTGATGGTGTTGCTACTGTGATGGTGTTGCTACGGTGATGGTGTTGCTACTGTGATGGGTGATGTGATGCTACGTGTGATGGTGTTGCTACGGTGTGGTGTTGTGGTGGTACTGTGAGGGGTGAGTGTGATGGTGTTGGCTAATGAGGCAGTGTGAGAGGCTTGTCAGCAACATTCTGCAACACGGTCACCATGAAGCAGTCATGAACGCCACTCAAATAATTATGTGCTTATGTAACGTTGTCCTGAATTAAGGAAAACTAAAGAAATAGAATGAAATGATTGTCTATATTTTTTCCCGGCAGTCTTATGACTTTTCAACATTTCCCCGTATTAGGAAATTTGTTGAGAAATTTGTTCAAATTTTACACAGACACAACAGTCCTGATGATCTATTGTGGTGGAGATGTGTGTTGGAGACCACCACCACCAGGTCCACCAGCCCCGTGTTGGAGACCACCACCACCAGGACCACCAGCACCGTGTTGGAGACCACCACCACCAGGTCCACCAGCCCCGTGTTGGAGACCACCACCACCAGGACCACCAGCACCGTGCTGGTGACCACCACCACCAGGTCCACCAGCACCGTTATGGAGACCACCACCACCAGGTCCACCAGCACCGTTATGGAGACCACCACCACCACCACCAGGGCCACCAGCCCCGTGTTGGAGACCACCACCACCAGGGCCACCAGCCCCGTGTTGGAGACCACCACCACCAGGTCCACCAGCACCGTTATGGAGACCACCACCACCACCACCAGGGCCACCAGCCCCGTGTTGGAGACCACCACCACCACCACCAGGGCCACCAGCCCCGTGTTGGAGACCACCACCACCAGGGCCACCAGCCCCGTGTTGGAGACCACCACCACCAGGGCCACCAGCCCCGTGTTGGAGACCACCACCACCACCAGGACCACCAGCACCGTGCTGGAGACCACCACCACCAGGGCCACCAGCCCCGTGTTGGAGACCACCACCACCACCAGGGCCACCAGCACCGTGCTGGAGACCACCACCACCACCAGGGCCACCAGCCCCGTGCTGGAGACCACCACCACAATGGCCACCAGCCCCGTGCTGGAGACCACCACCACAATGGCCACCAGCCCCGTGCTGGAGACCACCACCACCAGGGCCACCAGCCCCGTGTTGGAGGCCACCACCACCACCAGGGCCACCAGCCCCGTGTTGGAGACCACCACCACAATGGCCACCAGCCCTGTGTTGGAGACCACCACCACAATGGCCACCAGCCCCGTGTTGGAGACCACCACCACAATGGCCACCAGCCCCGTGTTGGAGACCACCACCACCACCAGGGCCACCAGCACCGTGCTGGAGACCACCACCACCACCAGGGCCACCAGCCCCGTGCTGGAGACCACCACCACAATGGCCACCAGCCCCGTGCTGGAGACCACCACCACAATGGCCACCAGCCCCGTGCTGGAGACCACCACCACCAGGGCCACCAGCCCCGTGTTGGAGGCCACCACCACCACCAGGGCCACCAGCCCCGTGTTGGAGACCACCACCACAATGGCCACCAGCCCTGTGTTGGAGACCACCACCACAATGGCCACCAGCCCCGTGTTGGAGACCACCACCACAATGGCCACCAGCCCCGTGTTGGAGACCACCACCACCACCAGGGCCACCAGCCCCGTGCTGGAGACCACCACCACCACCAGGGCCACCAGCACCGTGCTGGAGACCACCACCACCAGGGCCACCAGCACCGTGCTGGAGACCAGTGGTATAAGGACCAAGAGGAACATTAGGGCCAGAGTCAGGGCCAGGCTTATGTCCTCAGATTGAACAAAACTGCAAAAGTTGGAGCTTCAGGAAAGTTTATAACTTGACGGTTTTTTAAGGACTCTTGGATTACGTCATTTTAGATGAAGGATAGCGGGTAGTGGACTTACGTAGTGGTACTCACCTAGCTGTCCTTGCTGGCCATGAGCTTCAGCTCCCGAGCCTGCCTCCGCTACTTGACTTGGTGTATTCCATTTTATACTATTCTGGCTGATAACTAGTTATAATGCTACTTGTGGCACATTTGTGACCGGTCGTTCGTGTACCAACCCTTGTTAAACAGTTTGCCTTCGTCCCCTCTATAGTCTCCTAGTA